TCACTATGCGCTCTCGAGGGAACAGGGTAAGCCCTATACCCGCCATGTATTTTAGGCGAAGTTTATGTACTTTTTTCTCCATAACCATAATAGCTACAGTAGTTATTTTACTATCATTGTGATCATGAGCAACTCTCCTTACTTAAGCAGATTTAGCACTGAAAATTGTAGGGCTCACTTTTTGTAAATTTTTTACTTCAGGTACATAATTACCACTCTATAATAGCTATTAGATGTAGTGTTACAGATGAGCATTTCCTAACACAACAATAATTCTGCTTCAGCATATTCTGTATTATGTTATCTAAGTACTGGCCAAAATATGTGATTCTAGATACTGTGGTTTCTGAGAAAAAGGAGCATAAGTACAAAAAAAAGCATGTTTTGAGATAATCACAATATAAAGTTGAAACTTTCCAATATTCCAAGAGTACAATGAGATAACAGCAAATTGACGGTCCATTCAATAGGTATCAGCCAGATACTCATCACCAATACAGTTTTTTTCTTTTTGTGTTAAAATGCCTTGCTTGGCGAGTCTCATTTGGCGCCTGTTATGCAGCCCTGTCAGCACGGAACTGTCGACGCAGTTCAAGGGGGCATAGGCCCTGCACAATGCAGTGCCCTGCCGAAATCCCAAAATAGTTCAGCTCATCAAGTTACTATTTTAACTGTATTTCCAAGCAGATGCATGGATGTTTAATAAAACACCTGCTGGCCATGTCAACGGCCTGAATTCGATCCTCAATCTGACCCAAAAATGCAGGTTATTTATTTTATTTCTATTTTTCTATATTTTTCAGTCATGAACAAGATGACGATTGTCCGCTCACAACCAATGACGCCGATGCCTGAATTTCTGTGAAACGAGCTCTTTATCGCTGTCGCATTGATATACTATATGAAGACTCCAGGAGCATTTTTGCTATCCTTCAGCATTACTGATAGGTGCCTTGAAAGTCTGAATTGAAAGATCTGAAAGGAAGGACAAAAATAAATAATGTAAAAAATAAGGACATTCTGTTGTATTGTACAGATAACTGGGCTGAAAATTTTGCTTTTTTTTCCCCCCCTATAGTAAGATAGATTTAGTCAAAGCAGACAATTAAGACATTTGGCTTAGACAAAAAAGATATTTTATTTTTTGAGTCTGGTGGCAAATTTGTCACCGCCCCGTTATAAGAAGCATACATTTTCCAATAGATACACTGGAGGGAACTCAGGCCCTAGTGTATAGGAGCTGCAACGCACTGCGCTTCACCTAGCATGGGTATGATGGGTAGTACACAAATTTGTCTGATCACCATACTTTCGGCACAGTTTGTCTTCGCGTGGCTTGGAGCTGCTTTGTCACGATTTTCCAGCATTAGCTTCAAATTGGGTCACGAGGTTCACAATGGTCCGTTCTCTTATTTGAGACGTAACCAAAACTCAGCAATAAACGAAGCCACAAGTGCGTTCAAAGCATGCAAGCACGAAGACTTGGCAAATTTACGTACTGCCTATCATTCCTATGGTCGCTGAACGATCAGAATGCCAGAGTCCTCTCTAGTTAATTTTAGGAAACTTTATGATAAGAAGGATGCTTATAGCATCCATCCATCAACATCACCCTGCGAGTCGTATGCTCTACATGCGAGTGAAAGTGTGTGAAGGCAGCTGATGGATGCGGCTCAGGCAGAAAGGAACTGCGCGAGTCATCTCTCTTTGTGTGAAAGGCCCACATGTCGTTCAGGCAGATACTGCGTTGGCGTGGTTGCATGCACTTGCGTTTAGGTTTGCTTTTTATGGTCAAGTTACAGTTGTGTGAGAGTTCACTCGTTTTTAAACAACTCCAAGGTGTGCAATTATTGTTGCTATAAGTCAGCACTCTGAAAATAGTGGTGTGTATAATGTCGTGACGTTGACGGAGCAGTCAGCAGGATTAAGACGAAACATTTATTAGGGTGAACCTGTGCCCAGTAAACAAGAAGTCAAGTTACAAGTTACACTGTACACTGATAGTGGTGAACAGAGCAACGGCCTTCAATAATTTTCCAAGCAGCAAAACACGTCGGCTGTTACATTTGTGCTATCTAAAATTCCAGCGTTATTGCTAGTGGCTGCACAAGCCCCTGAATAAGCTATACTATACTCAGAGCTCTATATAACGAACCCAGATAAAACAAAATATTAGTTATAATAAAGTAAGTTATAAACAGTCCTGTAATAGATATAGTGTTAGGAACATACCTTTATAACGAAGTTTTGGATATAACAAACTTATTTGTGAGTTAGATGCAACTGTGTTGTAATAAAGTTTGAGCGTATTTGTATCCAGCATACAAACTGAAATAATATGATCTCAAGCAATCACGAAGCTTCTCAGACCCTGCATGGCCTGTGCAGGTCATGGCTAATAGTCTTTTCAGATGGAACTCGAATGTACGAAAATAAAAAATGTATGGCAATGCGTATTATTTGCGAGATCTTGTCTAGCAATGAAACATTTGATTACTCTGTGTTTCCTATATACTCTGGCTTTCTGACTAGTGGGCATCACTGAGCTTACTTGTGCATCAGCTGAAATTTCTCGGGCCCAATTTAATAAATTTTTGCATGTTAAATATGCAATCTAATTATGAGATGCTGATGCAGAGTCTGCAGATTGATTTTGGCCCCCAACAGTTCTTTTTTTTTGTATCTGAATCCCGCCTAAATTTCATGTCCACCTGAAGCGTGTGTTGGTGGAATGCAAAAACATCCACAATAGTCTTGGAGAACCTAAATATGGACATGTTAGGGCTAGCTAAAACACTCCTTTGTTGATTCTAACAGGATTTGTAGTGATCCTTATAATCTTTAAAAAAGCCTTAATTTCTTAAGGGGATACTACCCTTTGCGAGAATTTAAGGTAAATGCACAAGAACACAAGCGCCGCAGTAGGACATTTTCAAAATGATCCCGATGAGATCAGACGGACTGCCTACAATTAATCACTAGTAATCGATCTAACTGCACTAAATAAAGAACCTTCCATGCATCAAGAGACCCAATAAAATTCTGCTTGTTCATTTCTGTTCGATTCATGGAAAAAAGAACCGCCAAACGTTACTATGGGGAATCACGCGAGTGGTTCGAAAATTCAATTTTCGCGTGGTTACACGGGACAGGTGGTGCTGTCTAGCGGGGTGCAGTAGAAAAAAAAAGCGCCCGCAATCTCGAAGCTAATGACGGGAAATTGATCAATGGCCGTTGTTGCTGCTGTGGCTCCCGCTGCTTTCGGTCTGCTGCTACTAGCGCAGTAAAGCCAGGCAACGTTGTGCCCGGCAACAGTGACGTGAGATGGCCTGATCGATCTGCTTCTTGAGGCAGGTAATTTGAAGTGTGCTAACCAGATTTGGAGCACTAAAACGTGATTTTATTTCGAAATAGGCCCTTCCTTGGCACGAAAGTAACACTACGAGGTTTCTGGATTGCCATTTAAACAATCAACGTTGACCCTAATAGTTAGCTTTAGTGTTCCTTTAAGTCCTTGAAGGCCCTTCAGTTTCGTCAATACACTTTTCTTCAGGTAGCCTTAGCAGCCACTTTTTAAATATGTCTGTGTGAATATTCACTCCCATATTACAGTTGTGGAATTCACTTCAACATCAATTTATTGTTTGAAAGTATTTGAAATGAGCAAAAAGCATCTAGCCTGCCTAATAAATGCTTCATCGCAGTATATTTCTACTGTGCCATAAAAACACAACATAAGGAGAAATATATTTTTTTTTTTCAGCAAACTTGTTATGAGATCACAACTCAGGTCACGTGCAGTTTCCCGCCGCCACCGCTGCTCGTAATCATATCACGCAAAATTAAAAAAAAAAAAAACTAGCACCAATGTCACAGTGGGGCTCGAACCTGGTCTACTCCTAGTTCTACCACTGAGTTACGTCGGTGCTTGTAACTTGTTGTCCAACTTGCCTCAGGCAGGCTTGACCTAGCACAAATGACACAGGGGGGATCGAACCCGGGTCCACTGGGTGGCTGACCAGCATTCTACCACTAAGCTACACCAGTGCTTGTGACTTGTTCTCAAACTTGCCTTAAGCAGGCTTGATGTCAGGAAAGCAATCGCGTTAATACGACTTGTAAAGCATTTTAAAACAGCAAAAGAACAACCAGTCGTCGCATAATGCGAATAGCGTAACGATTGGGCCGTCCAATGCTCCTACCCATCACAACAGCTTGTTCTTGTTGCTCTATTAACTGTGGCGCATACCAACTTCAGTCATAATTCCTCATCGTCGTCAGCCAGTGCATGAACAATTGTCACAAAATTCCTTGCAAGTGTTTATCGGATACCACGCTTCTCAGAAGAATGACAAAAAATAGCATAGCAAATGCCTGCCTACTAGCCAAATAAATTTATTAATAATTAGCTAGTGGATATCAAGCAAGTGTGCTTGCAGTAGTTACCCAATGAGTGTTTAGAAAAGGCCTTGAAAGGCCGCTCTTCTAGCTTTCGCTGTGACTGTGCTGCGCCTTCCGCGCAGGCCTGGTGTTCTTTAAGAACATATTATCAGGCAAGTTATGGCAAATTTTAAAACTGTATATTTTAGCGTGTATAAATCGTACCCAGCTACTATTTCGATTTCTCCCAAAATAATCAACACCAATTATGTTTGCTTTGCGCAAACAATGTTACGCTCGCACAAGCCTGCTTTTACAGAGGCATAGGGAGGATTTTATTTTGTGAGGTAAAAGAGAGACGGGTCTGATGAGCTAGGGCTGTAGTAATTAGATAGCTTTCCTGAGTATCGTATAAGTCATTGTTATTTTGTGCCACTGCAGTCTTGAGCTCCTCCACGTTATTGCTCACATCATCACTGTCACGGGCACTTTACATTATACCTTGAATTATTTGACCACTGTGTGAGTGCTTGCACAAATGCTATGTGCAGCAGTGTATATTTGTGGCCTCATTGGATCAGTACAAATTGTGACCTCCTTCCGTATTAATAATTTTGCAGCACCGTACACAGTTCGGCTGGGCCTTTGCAACAACAAGCAGCGGCCCAGAACCTGGTGATGGCTTGGCATACAGTGTCTTCTTCGCTTACTACAGGCCACTGTGTCTGAGTGAGTTATCACAAACTGTTCGTTGGCCACTTGTCTACCACTATGTAAAAGAAGTTAGAGAACTTTTATATCTGTAGATTGCAGCCATGGTGGCAAGTACTCAGCAAGCATGTACAGACACTGTGTGGACACATGACTTCATTGCTGTGAAAAGATCTGTTTTTTCTACGTCGCCTCGTACGATATGTGTGTACATTTGTCCCTAAAATGCACCATATTTCGTGCACATTCGTCTGGTCGCAATACAAAGCAAAATTTTGGTGCACCCAAATCTCATTGGCAAATGAATGTTTGAACATAGTGGTGGCAATTCAAGACATTTCTCAATGTTATATAACACTCTAAATCTAAGATAAATATTTATACTAACTGTTGGTCATTGAATGTTTATTAATTTGAAATATTGGTTTTATGTATGCTTGGTGAAATAAGTGAACCATGGACCTTTTTCATTAGACTAGCCTGCGCATGCACAGCAGTACCAACTACATGTGCCATGTTTTTTGGGGGTCACAGGACGACGACAGGTGCGAACTGAGTGGCACCTCGCATTGCAGGTTTGCAAATTATCCCCAAAAATACTAGGCCCTCAAGATTGTCTGCAGGTGCAAGGAGGACACCTTCACAGGCCACGTACTGCCAGTTTCGATTTTTTGCGATTTCTACTGAAGATGCTTGTGATGACTGGTGCATGTTTCAATAGCACGCACTTAAAGTGAGTGCCTTTAAAGTTGCCAACATTAAGAGAAGAGTGTGCACAAGCGGTGGCTGAAACGAAGACGACGACGTCAAAGCAATGTTGAGCACTAGACCGAGCGGCACAAGTTATCGACGTGCAAGTGCCCCACAGAAAGCCACCATGGAGAATCCAGGGGCGAATAGCTGGGCACCAAAAAAAACTACAGCATTGCCGATAAGAACGGGACTAGTGGGCCAGAGTTCAAGGGAGATCCTAAGCCAACGAGAAGCAGGGGAGTTCGAGGACGACGTGGCAACGGGAATGTTGTCACAGGGCGGGGAGCTGAAGGTGGGACATCAGGTTTTGTATGCAAGTCAAGAAAACTTCAACCGGCTTGGGCTTCCTGATGCTGCGTTCCCACTCGAGAGGACCGTAGTCATCTCGTCCTGAACTTCAGCACAGGACCTGTGGATTTCGGTTCTGACAGGCGAGCAACAGCCGTCGGACTAAAGGCTCGAGCTGTGCATAGAGCTGTGCGCCCAGCTGCCTGGCCAGGTTCTCCTGACTTCTAGGCGCGTCATCCAACTGCCAGCGTTTCCTCACTGTGACCAGCCAACCTGCACCCACTCCAATAGTCAAACCTCAACATGTTGGTGAGACTGAACTGATATCTTACCCTACTCCATTGCTGACCTGTGTTCGAACTGAATAGCTTAGTTTAGTTAAGTTGACTTGTATATTAGTTGTCGCTCTCAGTGTTTCACCACGTGCTGTCAACCTTTTGTTAAGTACTTCATTTTATGGGGATTTTTTTTCTTTACTTTTGAACTAAACACTTAGTATGGCCAAACTGAACAGCTTTGTTTTTCTTTAAGGCTCTCACAGGCTCTAACCTAGGGAGTTCGTATTAACGTAAAAAGAACCTGCATTACTGTGCTATTCGTACCTTAAAAAGGGGCCTTGAATTTTCGCAAGTTTTGACTTGCATATGTCTCAAGTGTCACTTAATAGTTGGACAAGAACGAGAAGTTAGCACTTTTATCTTGATTTCCCATGCCAGTGGCCTTTTTCCCTTTGCTTTTTTTTTTGTCAAACGCTGGAAACACACTACTTCACTTCCTGTGTCTTGAAAAACGTGCTTCTTTGTGGGGCAGATCTACATTTTCTTGTTGTGTGATAAATAACAGACAGTGTAGGATAGTTTAGGATAGTGCTGAGGCATTTACTTTTCCAAGTGCGACTACCGCTGTAGCTGAACAGGTAAAGTATCGGACGCGCCGTTCGAAAGTGGTGGTTTGGACCCTCCCTGCAGCATGTTTATTACCATCCTTCTGCTTGTGGCTTGTCCTATGTCAGTAGGCGGCCTGTACACCAGTGTTGCCTGTACACTTCTGCAGTCACGCTCAAGGTTGCCTTATTGGTGATTCCAACAATGCCCACTAGATGGCCCGCCACCACACATAGCGTCAGTTTTCGATGGCTCGCGTGCTCGCCTCCTGGAAGTGGACTTGAAAGAAAAGAAAGTGAAGAGAAAAATGAGTCGTCGTAACTGTCTCTTTCTCAGGAGGTCACTAACAACGCCACACAGGGCATGGTATATAGTGCAGAGGTGGAAGTGCTGCGGCTATTGCGCCATTCAGCGCCAACCTGACCTGCTGCGCCAAGCTGTGCTTATGGAAATTTCTGCGATAATTACCTATTGCAAAAGTAAACGGCCAAATCTAGCTGATTATTATCGTTGACCGAGCAATGCTCGCAGCTACATTCATATTCAATGTTGTTTGATCACGTAATTCGGTTCATTCACGGAGCTTGCTAATGCTCTTCTCATTGCTGCCGTGGTATTTTCACAAAAATGGTGGCATCAACATAAGTAACTGCTAATTATCTAATAATACAGTGAAACCTCGATAATTGTATTACTCGAAACCTCGATATGTGTGCTTCTTGCGATCTTAGTATCATATTGCGATCTGATACTAAGCGACAACTAACCTTTTCATTGAAACATGGAGCAGTCGCATGGACTCTGATAATCTTCTAGTTATTTGCATGCAGTGCGGCACGTATGCTGCTCACGTCATCGCTGCTAGGTGCGTCGCTGTACTGTGTGCGCGGATTTGCTGCGTGAATTTCTCGTGCCCACTTCGCAACAGATGGAGCACAGATGAACAGAATAATGCGCTTGATTAGAATGGCAATAACTACGGCCAAGCAAAGCGCGCCCCAACATCAGGTGCAATGCTGCAGAAGCTAGCGAGACTTCTTGCACTACATGCATTCGCGTAAAAAAATGTTTTCATGTTTCTACCTCCCAGAATATATTTCCTTTTTTCTTTCAGGCTGAGTATCAAATTGACATGTTTTGTGCCTCACACACACGCACACACATTTGTGAGTAGTAAGTCTGGTAAGCTGCTGCTGACCCGCATGTCGCGGGATCGAATCCCAGCTGTGGCGGCTGCATTTTCAATGGAGGCAAAAATGCTGCAGGCCCGTGTGCTAAGACTTGGTTGCACGTTAAAGAACCCCAGGTGGTCGAAATTTTCGGAGCCCTCCACTATGGCATCTCTCATAATCATAGGGTGGTTGTGGGACATTAAACGCCACATATGAAGTCTGGTAAGCTCATTAGCACTGAATGTTTAGTGAATTAGAAATTAGTGAAAACCCCTGAAATTTTTACATGAGAAATAATTTTGATTGACAATGACCTTTGACCCTAAAAAGCTTCAAAACTAACTCGTGTTGTTTGCTCCAAAACATATGTTTTGGTGCTCCAGACCTGCTCCGAAATCGCCCTTTTACTGTGCTATAGCTGCTCCAAAACAGCATTTATCCTGCTCACTGAGCTGCTCCAAAACACCGAAGTTCACTTCCACTCCTGTTAGTGGGAAAGAAATAGAAATGTGAAATAAAGAGGAAAAAAAGAGGGTGTCAGTAGTCACCGCTTCCAAGCCAGGAGTAAAGAAAAAAAAACGCCGGGAAGGCCAACAGGGCGAGGATCACCGCTTCGTAGGCACGGCAGCATATGACAAGTTCCTACGATGAGTGTTACACACGAATACCAATATACTTCCAAGCCCTTTCACCTGACTGCTCATAACCCCTTTGAAGAATGCCCGATAGCTCCGCATCTGCTACTTATGAGCGTTAGGCACTTGAGCCACGGCAGCAGCCAGTACAGCATAAAGGGACAGTTGGTTAACGTGCCGATTGATGTGGCCAACATTGCGCCGGCCCCGGAACGTGCCTAACAACGCTGCCTTCGACGGAAAAATTGTGTACCGGCTCGTTAACAAGCCTTCCTACTGAAATGGTCTCACCGAGAAGCGCCCCGTACGCCTTCAAGCAAGCTCCTCTAACGTCATTCCCTTTGTGGATATGGCAGTGATCATTCCCTTTGTGGATATGGCAGTGATTTTTTTTTTTGTCCAACACCTGTCTTTCTGTGTCATAATTACTATGCAGCCACAGTTGACACATGCGAGCAATGTCCCTACACTTTCATTAGCTTGATTTTTCCATTGGTTTCATTAGGCTGTGTGTGACAAAAAGAAATGAGCCCTCGATCAATTCCACCTCTTTGACAGTTGTCTTCACGTCAGACGCAGCTGCCTATATGTGTGTACATAGCTGTCATGTCAGACATAGCTGAGCCCTGTGGTTACATATGCGCAGCTCTTCAAGAACGGATCATGCAGTACGAGCAGGATAATGATGTGGTCCTTGCTGTCAAGAAGCTGATTATCCTTATGCCACGTTCGTGCTACATTGAGCCGGAGTTGGGTGTCAGTGGGGACGAGGACCTCGAGCTGGCCAACCACATGAATGAGCTGAAGATTTCTCGAGCCGGCACACGAGAACGTAAATACACAAATACTGTGTACAAGATCAGGAACGGCGACAACAGTCCGGTACGTCCTTGTTATGCCTGTCAATTGTTCCTAACTGTAGGCGCATAATAAGGTCAGGCCCTCATCTCCTGGGTATCAATTAATATAGTCCACCTTAAAGGGGAACTCCGGTGCATTTTTGAACATACTAAGATAATGCCGTTTTCAAATAGTATTTACAGTCCTGCAACAGCTAGGATGGTTCAGTTTGCTTAGACACTTGTAAATTATTTTAGTTGAACAATTAACGATGAGTTTAGACAGAAACAGAAATAGGGAGCTGCTCTGTCCTCCATGGTGGGTATCAGATGACGTCACGAAATTGGTATCGGATGACATCATGAAATCTGTGCTCGATTACGTCACGAAATCTGCTACACCCCCTACAGCTGACTAGGGTGTAAACATAGCTAACACGCTTCTTCTGACATGGGAAAAGCAAGTTAGCAATGTCATCTAACGCGGAATCAAGCTTGGACAACTCGTCTGAAATTACCAGTGAAAAGTTCAGCAACATTTGCAGCTACTTTCGGGGCACGGAATCATGTCCTTTTAGTTTTGACCATCCGGTGCATAAAGTATCTGACGTGCCCCGAATTGGTCTCCTCGTTGCTCAATATTGTGCATGGTTAAACCTGACGTCAACGATGACTAACACGTTATGTTCAGCTGCCAAAACTGAACTGCGCTCGCATCGTCATCATTACATAGAAAAAGTGCACGCTGCATCTGTCTTCTGGGCAAAGCGGGGTTTTAAAAAAGAGTAGACGCTTATGTCACATTCACAGCATTGCCCCTGTTAACAAGCATGACTCCAGAATTGGCTACGAATTTTTAAAATTAGTTTTCTAAAAACTAAATGACTTACTGTTGTATAATTTGGCACATATCTCGACGGTACTGACGAGAACACAGGTTCAAGGTTTTGATGAAATCGGTGAATATTGGAAAATCACCAGAGTTCTTCTTTAAAGGCCCAGAGCACCACATAAGAGGGGCATTATATATCATTGCATGTAATCAAAATATATACAAAGTACAATGCACACTTGTGTCAAGCAGACAGTAAAATTCATTACAAGTAAGCAGTATATAGTTGAACCCCTTTATAAGATACATGCACTGGTGCGCATTTCTTATTTGTTATGTGAGGTGTCCCTTATGAGCAAAGTACCATGTATGCATCTTTTTATCAACCCTTATTTCAATGCAGGCACATGGGCGCCTCTTGTACCCATTTGTCCCCTATGTCAGTGTCTCTTATAAAGGGGTTTGGCTGTACTAGTATGTAATTCAGCTCACGGTATTGAATGATCTAAACAAACAATGCAGTGATGATGCAACAAATATATGTTTTTAGTGTAGACATGTCCAATCTCAATTAAAAAAATTGTGAGGGTTGCACAATATGTTTTCTTTTCTAATGTGAAGTAATTGCGGCAAAAAAAAAAAAGCCAATGAGAACAAAACAACAACTTCTATTCAGTGGGTTTTGTGGCAAATTCGTATAAGCATGAAAAAAGCTTACCATAGCATAATCAGAATCGCAGTGCACTAACGTGTAGTGTCAGGGTTGTGGGTTCGAATTTCTCTGGTGCCAAGGTGTCTTATCTCGTTAGCTTTCATTTACCTCTAAATCATAGTTGGTTCACTTTATTGCAATTAAAAAGGGACTAGAATATCACTGCCTTTACTTTTCTTCATTATTCTTTTTACTTCATGTGATTGTCTAACAGAAAATGAGCCCCTAGGTCGGTTTTCTTTTTTCATGTTTTGTTTATATGACATGCGGCCCTCGGCTTCAGAAGGAATAAGCTTTTGTGGCTTTGCTAAATGATATTCACATTGTCTTCTGGCCCATTAAGATTAATTCATAAAACTTGATTTTAAAATGCTGGCATTACTTCAGCATTTCTTAAAAGCATTTATGTGTGTTGAGAGCTGTGACCAAACAATGGTAGTTGTGCACAGAACAGTTGTTTTCTTCTCAAGGCATTCACCTGTAAATGTGAATGCCTACATATTTTTCAGATACTCACTCTTAGTTCGTAAGAGTTTTTAATTATTCAGATTTATTTGAAAACAGGAAGGGTTTATTTTGTTTTTGTGGAAGTTTTGTCAAGCGACCAAAGTTTTGCAAATTGAGTTGCTGCTGTGGCATCCATGTTTGTGGATGCTGGGCATATCAAGTTCATGTAGGAAGTCGATAGAACGCTGCCTTTTGGTAGGGCCTGCTTTGTTGCCATGCGGCTCTACACAAACCATTATCTGTGACATATCTAGCTAAATATGCCTTTTAAAAGGTATGTATAAAATTTATTTGCTTTATTCAGGACACGGATAAAGTGATAGAGACATGCACGTCATAGCTTTGTAGCTGACTAACACAAACGTGAACATTTCGATTTGGAGAACACCAAATAGTTGGAACGTTGAAGCACAGCCATTAAGAAGCAAAGGGCCTTTTGAATAGTTGGGCAAAAGCCTCTTGATCAGTCAGATTGAACATATCCATAAACGTTATGATGAACAAGGGCAATAAATAACGTGGCCATGTTGAAGTACATCAGTGGGCAAGCAAATGGTCATTGAATGGTGACAATGATGGTGATGACAATAACTGTAGAACGTGACAATTATTGTGTTTATGATGGCCGTAATGAATGATAATGAAAAAAGTTCTAAATCAGAGCCGTTAGTGGTGGCCATGTGAACATTATGATGGTGATTATAATAATAAACGCATTCAATTGTAACGAAGGCACTGATTATGGTAAGTGGAGATGAATATAATGATTATGCGTTGAAGCGGAGCCGTTGGCAAGCTGAGTTGTTATGTACACGATGAAGAAGGCTGATTAACCTAGTGTAACTGGTGTTTCCATTGTCCACGTATGTGGACGCTTGCCTTGTTTTGAAACTCAAAATAACTTTTTCATGTTTTCAGTTTATTTCCACTTTCGTAGGTGTTGTTGCTTCATATAAACAAAAAAAAACATGGCTGATCCCTTCATCATAGGAATCTGTATATTACGAAAGTGAAATGTGGCTTCAGAGATGTAGTTGGCTGCTTATTGTGCATTGATATATGAGAGCCTGTACAATGTCTGTATGTGTTTGGCAACTATAGCACCATTGGCGTGGACGCACCCACATCAACGATTAGAATAAACTTCTCCATCTCAACGACAAATGTCCATTATGATGATTTAGCCATTTTTAGCATCTACCTGGACACATTATATTGTGACGCGTACACAAACATGGCATCAACAAGCTCATACACCAGTGTGACTTCCCCTGAGAAAAAGCTCATACACCAGTGTTTCCAGTCTAAGGTGCATGCCGTGACACAAGATAGGAGATAACGAAGAAGAATATGGGCATGAGCGTGGAAGAACAAAAATGGCAAATAAATAGAAGGCCAATTGCATAGCACCATGGCGATCGTTCAAAAGTATGCAAAGAGAGAAGGAAGCGAAGGGAAGAAGGAGCAGTCGTAGTGAGAGAAGATGGATCACGCGTCAGTGCTGTCGGGTTTCGGATCCGAGCCTGGACCTCTCGGCTGTTTATTGGTGACCTGACAGTTTTCAAGGCTACCGGCTGCTTCCAGCCGTGCGTCGCTTGTGTCCTACGGCTGCCCTAACATTCTTGTGCCTGTGCACAGGCCTCAGCTCTTGGGCTTCGGGCTCAAGCTCAGACGAGACTGTCCGGCCAAAACACTACTTCAGAGCCAGCTCTTCAAATGCAGCATCAACCAGTCCAGTGTCCACCGGCAGCCTAGGAGGGCTGCCAATACAACTGGTTGTGTAGACGACAACTGCATCGACCTCTGTGCACCCAGGCGTCCATTCACCGACGTTGGTGAGGCCCTGCCACTTCACTATTTTGCCCGACCAAACCATGTGTAGGAACCAAGTTCTAGGACTTAATGATGCAGGTCGTGCAAAAGAAAACCACAAACGTAACAAGAACCAGCTGCAAGAGCGAAACAATGAAAGTGACAGCAACTTATTCATTTTAACGAAAAGAACAGCAAGCAGCTCGAAACTTGCTGCGCTCTGCTCGAATATAGAGAAAGCATGATGAGAACACACACACTACAAGCACGAACTAACTGCCTCAGCTCAACATTTCAAGCGCTCTGCTCCAACACCAAGACGAATGCACCAAACAAATGCACAAGTACAGCTGAGCCCATTTATAATAATACTCAAGTGAATGAAAATTTTGTCATTATAACTGATAATTGCGGTGTATGGGCTACATAAATAAAAGCAAAATAGGTAGACGGCAGGCTGTTGTGACAAAGCTTAACATCAGATGGAATATTCCAATGGTCATCAGTGACAAATATGGCCAAGCTGGCTATTTTTCGGATATTTAAAAAAATTCAGTTGCTTTCACAGGACTACTACAAGCCCTATAGAGCCAGTGTATTACAAGGTCTCAACATTTTACTCAAATTGCATGTTTTAATAGAAGCTACAGCCGCTCCTGCGCCGTAGCAGACTTTAAAAGTCAGCTTCGCCGCTATGTAACAATGCTATGCTGCGAAACACACCACAAATTCAAAAAGACGCTGGAGTATGGAAGGTTCAACACCTTGAATCTCTCATTTTAAACACCAAGGATTTCTATACACACTGCAAGCACTCTTGGAACCTGTCTGTCCTCCATCCATCTATTCGTGTGAGGTAAAACAAAGTTAGTATGTGAGTGTAAGATGGTTTGATGAATACAACTCGCTGGTCATGACATGAATAATGTCACAATCCTATCATGCACATCGTTTAACACATCTCGCCAAACAGTGGCACATACCCAAGGGCAAGTAAGCGCCACTGGTATACGACTTTGTGCCACATGTGATTGATAGTTCATATCTACCTAGGAACCGTGAAAACACATTCGGGTAATTTTAACAAATGAGCGTTGAGAAAAAGCTGACAGCGACTGTGTTGATCCGACAAATGTCAAGAATAAATGTCAGGGTTCTAGCAAGAATTAAATCCCGGCAT